CGATTTTTGACATATCAGCTATCCAGTTAGTACAGAAATCGATTTATTTATTTATTAATTTTTTTTTTTCTTTCGAGACCTCTTTAGCTCGTCCTCTCCAGAGTCGGCCGGTTTTTCGCAAGGCGGATTCTCATCTAATTATTTCATAGCTTAAATGCCGATGAGCAGGGTTGGGTACTTCTCCATTTTTCGAGGTTTTTAACCTATACTACGTAAACAAAGAAGTTTACAGGAGAAAATCGTAGAAAACCAGTAAATTACGTTTCCAATGTGAAGAATGCCGCAGATGGACGATATACATCTGCTGGGTTATAAACGTCTTTCAGCACATATATACACACGGAAATATTTTAAGGAACAATTAATTAATCTGGCACTTGTATTCAAAATCGTTTAGAATTTTACGTTTCCAATATGGCGGATTCTACAGATGCATGATATATGTATCGTTTAGAATTTTACGTTTTCGTCATTTTACGTATCGTTTAGAATTTTACGTTTTCAATATGGCGGATTCTAGAGATGCATGATATATGTATTCGCGAGGTTAACGTCTTTTAGCGCACATATAAACACGTAAAAATTGTTAAGAAATTATTAAGTTGACGTTTGTGTTTATATTATTTCGACTTAGCCCTGTTTAATGTCAAATTTCTAATTGGATTTGTTATTTTCTATTTAAAAAGAGGAGTAAGGTATACTTTGCGCTCGCGGAGAAAACTAGGGACGTATTGTACGTGTAATATACACGTAGAAAACCACGTGTATTACATGAGGCCACGTATATTACACCCAACCCTGCCGATTAGAATATGTTGGTCGATGGAGACGATTTTTGAAGATTTGTATGAATAGCGATCGATTATCGGCCGATTCTGGTTCTGTCCTTGCATTTGCTCGCATTTAGCGCCGACGGTAGTGATGGGACTGATACGATACTTATTGATAATATTGCAATAATTCAATTCTCTGGTATTTATTCCAAGGTATCGAAAATGCACAAAAAATGATATACTTGGCATCAATATTCGATATGATACCTTTTAGAGCGATACATAACGATACAGTTATAACTGATACGGTAACAAAGTACCGAAGGATCGATACTATCAACAATATAAACGAATAATTCAAGTACTTTATGATACAATACATGAACAATAGTTCTCATCTTTCATTTCTTAACTTAACTCATTTCTAATGAATAACACAGGTAATAATTACCCGAAATTTGTAATTAATGAAAATTTTCTTCTATACATTGCCCTCAATAACTCCATTTTCATTACTCCCTTAAGGTGAAGTGAAACATCCTTCAAATCAGCCGATTCTAATACAACACTTTTTTTTAAGGGTATTAGACCAAACTGTCCGAAACTTTGACACATCACTCCTGGTCATCTAAGAATTGTCCTGACACATTCAAAATTTGGATTTTAAAAAAAAATTGTTTAACTCAGTCCAGACCAGATCCAAAATGGCGTCGAGCTCTCATATTTCGATCAATATACAATTATCGAAGGCTCTGATATGAGAATCGAAAGGGTCAGGACAATTTTACGACAATTTAGAACACTCTGGTAATCGGTAAACTCGCATTTGAGCGGGATAAAGGCAAAAAAGTGTTGTATGCGCTTCTTTGCTAAAACGATGGTAATACGAGGTCCCGGAGTGAAAATTTAATTGATCTGGAAATCACAGATGGCGCAGGGGGTCCCTCCGCAGTCAATTAGGGCCCCAGAAGGCATGAATCCAGAGGATTTCTGGAGTTTTACTTCGATTTCTTTATAATTATTGTACGAAAACGACAGGTGGAATATGCCATTTGGTACAATACACAATACAATTCGACCGAGCTGTCGATATAAAAACGAACGTCGGCAACGTAGACATTTAGAAAAATCTTCTTTATCGACGTTGATCAAGTTCCTCGACGTGTTTCACTTCACCTTAATATTGCCACCCCCACGATCTTTTCGATATTTTTTTTTAACATTTATCGCATTCTCTCACAGGACGCTCTGACAGTCGACAAGAACAATTGACTGTTGGCAGCAAATTTTCTGACTCGCACGTACATGTGAACACAAACTAAACTACTTGTTCTTGTTTGGACGGTTCGCGAAAAGTATTGCGATAGTATCGATTATATTTACAGAGGACGAGTAGTTACTCGGGTTTGATACCTGCGTGTAGGTATCATTTGGGTATTGATACCATTTGATATTTTCGTCTTTATGTACGCTTTAAAGGTACTGATATTTTATTGTTAGGAATCGATACTGATCGCGACGTATTATTTCCATCACTAACCGATGGTGCACCTAGTTCGCAAAATTCGCTGTCTTGGCTTTCTTCGGCTCGACCGAAGAGTGTTTTCGCTGATAATCCGTATAAACTGTAAAAAGTTCCCTTTATTTATTTCATTATCTATGGCGCAGCCTCCAGCCTCCGATACGTTTCAAACAATGGTTCCCAAATTATAATTCTTGATTTGGGCCACCATTGTCTTGCTACTTTCCGTTTCAGGGAAAAGATATACTGTTAAAAATACCATAATTAATTATATAATTGTCGTCTAAAGTTGTATTTTAGAATTTTATAACATTCTCAGATACAAAATTGAAGTGTTTTAAATTCCAGTACATGAAGGTAATAATTTTTACAAAACGCGATCGTATAAAATTGTTCATTTATTTAAATATTTATAATAATTTTATTGTACACGCTGTACTTAGAAGCTGTGACGAGAGGGTGTAAGTTTGATGATTATTTTTAACAGTGTACCTTGGTACCTGACATTAAACAGTTGATAAAATTGTACTTGAAAAACCACTTGGACGGTTCTTAAGTTTGCGATTATTAACCCTGCTCGGGAAAAAATTGTAACAATTAAAAATTAAAATCTCGCATATCTGGTACGTGTCTTTCAGCATAATGGAAAGAGACATATCCCGGTAACTGCAAGTGTATAAATAAGTTCGGTGATTTTTCACAGCAATCTGGCATTTATTTGCACAAACTGAAATCCATGACAATTATCTTTTATATTAAAACAACAGAAATGTTATGGTGAGCACTTGAAACTCCGAAAGAAAAAGGAAAAATCCTTAATATACAGCAGAGTTACAACATGTTAAACGTAAAGTCATCGAACTTATCCGTATATCTACTATTATTTTCGAATAAAAATTAAATAACTATCTCATCACGCTATTCCAAACAATATATCGCTCCCTGATTTGCGCGATTTTTATTTACAAAAGTTGCAATTATTTCGCCAAGCAGGGTGATTAGAAACTCATTCAAAGATTCGTTAATTGAAAAAAAATTGAAAAATATTGAAAAATATTGGAAAATATCGAAAACACTCCAAGGTCTGAACTTCCCCTCTTCCGATTTATTCGCGAGAGGAATTTTATACATTTCTAAATGACTCGTTTCGTTACACTAATTGTATTAAACTGCATGCAGTGTCCACTGTAAATGACTCCGAGATGACATCAGCTGTCATTCACGTTTATTCGCTTGCGAATAAATTCGGAAAGAATTCTCAGACGAGAAAGTCCTAACAAGAGCCGAGGATCGACTCGGCGTTAATCAGTGTTAATCGATGTTAATCATTGTTGATCATTGTTGGCTCCTCACCGGCTTGCCTAGAACAAATGACGAAGTAACGACCGATCAGCTGATCGAGCCTGCGTCGATGACAGTTCTCACCCTAGCTGTGTACCTTGCACGCATAGACATTCGCATTGACACGTTGACAACTCGATGACAGCCGGCGTCATTGTCATCCGAAGTTAGACTTGTATGCACCGCAACCTAAAAGTGATAAGAATTAATTCGTTAAGGCCCTCGTTAAGGTCGAGGTCCCTTAACAAGGTCGCTCCCTCGTTTTGTGCCTCGTTACCGCTAATACCAGCACCGCTCAGCAATTGTTGTTCTTGTTTATGGTTATTGTTGTTGTTTTATTGCGTTCGCCGCCTATCGCCGCCGCTGCCGTCTCGTACCTTTAATTGGCGCTATCGTTATCACCCGATTTTTCTTTTTCAGGATCGCTATCTCGAACCGACCTACGGATTTCTCCACCAATTTCTGTCTCTGTTTCCGTTTCCGTTTCTTGTCATCCTTTCTTCATCCCAGTCCTCCATTTTGCGCTTCACCTTCGGTGACAAAAGTTAAGGCCATTTTTTTTTTTATCAAAACCCTGGAAATTATCTGAAAAATAATTCAAATGAGTACTTTTTACGCTTCTTCTGCCGTAATATGACATAATTATTATCGAGCAATTGTAGATTCATATTCACAGAGAGCTCTAGTCTTCACTCTTATTCATTCTTGTTTTCTCTGATTGTTATCACCTGCATAAAAAAGATTCAATTGAATGTATCCATCCGGAAGGAAACAAATCAATGATGCATCTATCTGTAATGAGTGACAGCCCAATTAATTGATTTGATTGATCTTGTATATACAAAATGATTACAACTTATATCTCAATTAATTGAATCCACCAAATGTAATACAATAACGGGGATTTAGTTCTTTACTTATTTATGCAGTTTTATTTTTATTTCATTTCTGTGTCAAGCATCTTTCTCTAATTTCGTTATCCGGAAATTGTTTATATTTTTCGTGCCAATTACAGCCCCTCCCTCAATTTACGCGGTGAATTATAACACATTTACGCGGTTAGGAAACGTCATTATCTTTTTCTTTTTTTGTTATACTATANGTATCTGTTGACATTCACCGGTGAAAGTCGACATTCTCCAATTTCGGTCATTCACGGTAACATATACACTACATAATTTCTGAGATTCCTTAACAAATGAAAAAATGATATCCGCTTCCAATTTCAATTTCCCTGTCCCGACCTCTCCCGTTAAGGTCGGTGGAACCTCCGACCGGGTCGAGAGTGACGCTTTGTGTGTTTTCTTTCGCTCAATGATTGGCCAGTGATAAGCCGTCGTTATCAGATGATCGTTTACTTACAGGCAGCGACCTCTTGACGAGCCTCACCTCAACGTTCGACCGAAAGTGGAAGTCCTTGGTAAATCCCCTGAGTCAGCAGACGACGGCCACCGAGCCCGAGGTCAGGGTCGAGACCGTGGAGGAGGTCACGGTCAAGGTCAACGTCAAGGCCGACTCTCGGTCCCCGAGGTCAACCGAGGTCTACCGAGACCCGAGCCTTCACAAGTCTCCGGCGGACACGATTGGCCTTCTTCGTCCAAAAAACGTAATTAGTTGGATGATTACTGACCTTACCGAACCTTACAAGAATCGTATTTTTTAACTTTTATTTTGACGCAGCAGGGTCGATTGTAGTTATTTGTCATCCATTGAGAATTTAGTACTTGACTCCCTTTTCCTACAAATAAAAAGAGAGAATAAACTCCGAAATAGGAGCCGAAAAAGTGATTGGTAAATTAACTAGCTAAATTCCCGTAGGAGTTTTTTTTCTTAGAAAAATAAAGTAAGAATAATGTCGAGAGAGGGGGCAAAAGAAGAAAATGGCTAATATTCTAAAATATTAGCACTGCATCTTCTTTCCTTGAGACATATCTCCTCAGGTTTAGATCTAATGTACTATAGATATAGTAAGTGGGAGTAATGTCCTTTTTTTGGAATAAGTCGCTTTAATTCGTACATTTCTAACTAGACAAATAACAAGGGGTAAATTTTATTCTCTCATTTGAGAAATTCTTATTATTTATTCTCTGCGAATTCAATGCGATATGCCGTAAGCATTACAGCAAGATTATTCTCATTTTTCTCAGGATGCACCGGAGAAGGATACGGACTCGAGCGTGGGGCCCGAACCTTCGGATCAGCCTGAAGTGTCACCACCGGACAACGACAGAAACGTGGGTAAGAAGCCATCGGAGATGGTCCTGCAAAAATCGGCGTCACCTCCCGAGAACGTAGCATTCCTAGACGCGACGGAAAAGGACGAGACATCCAGGGCGAACGGAGCGGAGACGTCGTCATCGAGGAAGACGAAGAAATTCGAGAGTCCTTCGAAGGTCCAGGACGAGTCCGTGGTCTGTACATCTCGTCTGGAGGTCGAGGACGTCGCCCCGAAGCCTGAAGAGGCCAAGGAAGAAAGTCGCAGCGACCTGGACAGCTCCTACTCGAACAAGCTGGAGAAGTTCGAGAGCCTCAGCCAGGTGAACTCGGAGTCTAGGTCGAGGTTGAAGAGGTCGGAGTCCTTGAACAAGAGGACCGAGAGCGCGGCGTCGAAGCTGAAGAGGTCGGAAAGCCTGAACAAGCACTCCGAGAGGCTGGTCTCGCCTACCAACGGCAAGCTGAAGAGGTCCGAGAGCCTCAACAAGCACTCCGACAGGTCCGAGTCGCCCAACAGCAAGCTGAAGAGGTCCGAATCCTTGACCAAGACGGAGAAGACCGAGAGCAACATCAGCAAACGCCGACAGTCGGTCAGGAAGGAGAGCGCCACGAAGCTTAAGAGGAAGAACGGCATGCCCGAGAGGTCCATCAAACGCAGGCATACCGTTGGTGGGACCAAGGATTTCGATAAGATTCACTGGTTGGACAACAAGCTGCAAGCCGAAGCCGAAAGAGTCGTCAAGAGTGACTGCAAGCCGAAGAAGAGCCAGCTGAGAACGAGTTCTCCCGACTTGAGCAGTAATAGAGTCAACGTCGCCGATACGAGCTTCTTGATCGAAGTTAGTTTCAGGGGACCTAGTAATGTGGTTTTCAATGTCACCAATGCCAGGCCTCAGTCGCTTCCCGATGCTAACTTGGCCTCCAAGGTCTTCAAGGTCCCACTTGAAAGTCACGTCTAAAAGAAATATTTCTTGACGAAGCTGAAGCTATTAGGGACCTTGGCCAAGATGGAGATCGACGATATCGGTTAAAGGCACCATTCTATAAGGTTCCTTAATAATGACCACGATGCTGAAGAGGAAGAATGGCATGCCTAAGAAGTCCATCGAACGTAGGCAGACTGCTGTTGGGACCGAGGATTTTGATAAGATAACGGCCTTCAAAGTCTTCAAAGTCAGTCTGGAAAATCACATCTGAAGAAACTCAAATCTCTGAAAATGAAGATCCTATAAGAAATGAAGTAACATCGACAAAGACACCGTTCTGTTAGGAACAAAAACGTCACGAAGCCGAAGAGGAAGAACGACGCACCTGAGAGGTTCATTGAACGCGGACATACCATTAAAGGGACCAGGCATTTTGATAAGATAACGGCCTCCAAGGTCTTCAAGGTCCCCTTAGAAAATCACGTTTAAAGAAGCACAAGTTTATAAACAAAAAATCATCGTTAACTTCGTTTGAGGTTTCGATGATTCGGGTATCTTCGGGATTCTTCAGGGTCTATCAAATGCAGGCACGCTGTTGGTGGGACCAAGGATTTTGATAAAGGACATTGACTGAAGCTGGGAGTCATCGAGGTCATCAAGAATTGTCAAGAGCGTCGGTAAGCCGAAGACGAGTCACTTCAAGATCGGTTCTCCTGATTTCAGCAGCAACATGGTTAACATGGCTGATCACAGTTTCTTGGTCAAGATCAGTTCCAGATGATCAATCGTGTCTTCAAGAACCAATGCGAGGACCCTATTTCTTCTAGTACTACCTTAGCGACACGTCGGAGGTCTTCAAGATTCCTCGCATCGTGCCCAGAAGAAATGCAAAACTACAATAAAGGCGTTCATCCTTCCGCAATTTGATTCAAGTAATCCTCGTTACTTGGTACCAGAAGATTATTCGCATGGGAAGGAAAGACAACGATATTATTATCTTGTCCCTCGGAAATGTTTTTATCTCAAATCGTTGACTTTGAGTTCCATCTTCTAAAATTTAAGAGAACTTTTAAGACTATATCAAATATGAGAAGCTTCCTGATAAAAGTGGTTAAACTTCTTTGCAATCTTCGCTCTAGACTCTAGCATGTCACGATTTAGAAAAATTGAGATAAAAAACATTTTATATATAAATAAGAGACGATATCAAGTATGAGAAGCTTCCTGATGAAAGTGTTAAACTTCTTTGCAGTCTTCGCTCTAAACTCTAGCATGTCACGATTTACAAAAATTGAGATAAAAAACATTTTCAGGGATCTTCTTTTATTTTAAGTACTTCCTTCAGATCGTTGGGACTTCCTAAGCCAATTTATCCTAAGTCGAGAAATCGCCCACGTTCATGGGAAAGGATTCATATCAGACTCAATGTCAGAAATTCACACATCCATGAACCCACAGAATGTATTTCATCCTTGATAGTCAGCATCTTCTTCATGTATGTCGAATTAGAAAAAGATCCTATACGTTCATATACGTCGAATTAGGAAGAGACCATTTACATTAAGGACGGAGGATGATAAAATTATCCTGTCTCTCGAAAATGTTTTAATCTAAAATTGTTGACATTAAGGGGATGTTAAAGTGGCATCTGAAGAGTCGATCGCTGATGACACTTTTCGTTGAACTGGATGTACCGAATCGTTTCAGATATTTGCAACGTGAATATGGAGTCTATGAATAAGGTCCTGAAACTCATGAAATTTCATTACTTGTAAAAAATTTTTTAAATACTTATAAACAAATTGAAAAGAAATTGAAATTTCATGAGTGTCAGGACCTTCCTTGTGGTCTCCATATTTACATTGGAAAGTTTAAAACAATTCGGTAAACCTAGTTTGGAGAAATGTTTCATAAATAAAACTTCTTCAACGCCACTTTCATGTCGCCTTAAATTCCAGCTTCTAAACATGTTTTTAATTTGTTATAACAAAAGAAATATCGAGTTATGAAACTCTTGTTTTTTCAATCCGTCTTATAAAATGTTAAGCTGTTGATTTTAAGTTCCAAGTTGTATACTCTTTAAAAATCGTGAACAATCTCAAACTTAATTTTAAGCTCGTCTCCAAGCACTATGCAACATATTTCATTTTGTTTACCAAGAAAAAATATCGAAATTTATAACACTCTTGGTTTTTAACTCGAACTTCTAAAACGTTTAAAAGTCGTGAGACTGCTAGAATTTGATATTACACATGAGATAGAACTGATAAGACAAACAAAATCTCTGCATGCACTTTAGAGATAATTTATAAATTTTTTAAAATTTCAGATCAAAACATTTTCACTGACATCCGTTTATCTTAAGTACTTCCCTAACATCATTGCAAATATATGCAATGCGGTTGCACATATTCACAGAAAAAAAAAAAAAATTCATATCAGACTCATTATCAAAAGTCGAGTTGGCAATTTCATATATCCATAGAAAGATCATTTCGCCCTGAATAATAAATACAGAACCTTTGTATACGTCGAATTAGAAATTAGTGGAGACTCGGGGAAATATCGCAAGCCATAGGACCAGAAATGTGGCAAAATGTATAAATCTCTGTCTGTTAAAAAAAAATCACGAAATACAAATCAGGTGCCAGAGTGATATGCACCCGAGTATAAAAAAGGACCTCGAAAAACGAAGTGGGATTTTTTATAATCCGACCTTTAAGCGAAATGTAGAATTATCGCGGGACGTCAGAGGAGAATGTAACGAGAATCGTAATCGCAGTGCGACACTCGTCGTACCTATACCGTGTCAATTATATATACACATCATACATGTGAGAATTGTGATCGTGCAATTTTTGTAAATATCAATATGCGGATATATATGTATACACATATATATATATATATACACGTTCGACGAATTACCGGCGTACAGCGCTAATTTTTTTATCGCCGAATCCATATATATATATATCCAACTTTGGATTTATACTTTAATATAATTTTACATAACCGCAGGTTCCCTATAAGTAAACATTTATCTAGAGTTAGCATCGATTATCGCCAAGTTACGTGTCTCGCGATTAGGAGCGCATTTCTTTTAGCCGAGATGCTCGCAAATTGTACATATGAAAGGTATACATATTACATGGTATGTACTTGTACCGTAGAGGTGAAGAGTAGCAAGTCCACTTTTAGAAACTTTCAAGGAGTTTTTACTTTATCTTAAGGCGATGCGAGAGTGGCGTCAAAGAGTTCTCGTTAATAATACTTTTCTCCAAACTTGGTGTACCGAATCGATTCAAACTTTACAATAACAATATGAAGGGTATAAAGAAGGTCTAGAAATTCATGGAATTTCAATTTTTTTCTTTGTTCATAGATATTTTTTTAATTTGTTATAAAAAATGGAATTTCACGACGGTCAAGACCTTCCTTATACCCTTCATATTGATATTGGAAAGTGTGAAACGATTCGGCACACCCAGGTTGAAGAAAAGTTTCATGAATGATTGACCTTTCAGATGCCACTTTCACGTCCCCTTAAGATGATGTTAAAATCAATGAAATAGTAATAACTCCATATTGACGAAAGGTGGACTTAAGACTGTTACCTCTACGGTGCAGATGTGATATGTATGTATTTGGCGCGGGACTCTGCCGAGCTTCCTGGTATATATATATACGTGTAATGAACGTGGACGTGTCGAAACCGAATGGCGAAAAGAGAAAAGTCGGTTTTCCCGATGTAGGGAGCCGAAAATCGTGTAAAGTAAAAGATGGGACTTTTCTACGTCCTTTTATCGTTGCGAAGCCTCTTGGCCGGATTAGGCGGTATCTTATACAGATATTTTCACCGGTGAAAATATATATAAATATATATATATACATACACGATGTGATAAAAAACGAGTAACTACGATCGACCGTGCGTCTCTCTATATAGATTTCTATATTGTATTCCCCTGTATTAAGCGAAAAGCTCGTAACTGTTATCTTTGCTGTTACAAACAAATGGAATTTTCCAATTTAATCCTGCAGGTGAATGGACTCTCCATTTCAAGTATGCAAATTAATGGAATTGTACATTACATCGATGCAAGTTATTGATAAATAATTCAGGCAAAAACTGTTTCTTATGTTGCGAAGGAACTTTTCTTTATTTTATCTGAATTTTCCATTTTAATGGTGCAGGTGAAAGGGACTTTCCATTTCAAGTATGCAAATTAGTGGAATTGTACATTTCATCGATGCACATTAATTAAAGATAATTCAGATGAAAGCTATTTCTTACGTTGTGAAGGAACTTTTCATTATTTTATTACAATTTTCTCTTTTAATAGAGTAGATTAATGGGACTGTTTAAATTACCCGAGTGATTGGAATTATTCATTTCGTCGATGAACATAATTCATAGCTAATTCAGAGAAAAACTGTTCCTTACGTTATAAAAGAACACATTTTTATTTAATTTCAAGTTTCTATCTTAATGGTATGGGTGAATGGGATTTTTCATTTTAACAATTCAGTACGATGGAACTGTCCATTTTCATTGCGGAACTAAATGCAATTCCCCATTTCATCGGTGCCACATTATCGATAGTTAATTCAGACGAAAAATTCATACATTACATACACATTATCGATAGTTAATTCAGACAAAAAATGTTTCATACATTACATACACATTATCGATAGTTAATTCAGACAAATTCATACTTTACATACACATTATCGATAGTTAATTCAGGCAAAAAAATTTTCCTTACATTGCTAAGAAGCACGTTTCATTATTTTATACATTTGAAATGACTCGTTGGCCTTCTATTCTGAGTAGTCGAAGATACCGTTCCGATCTTTTCTTTTAGCACGAAGCATTATTTCCCCATTGCGATGCGAAAAAAACTCGAGTTGTATGTACCAATGTCTTTACGAGGCTGCTGCTACTATGTTTAAGGTTCATGGGAAATTTATGTTAAGTTTGATTTAACTTTAGAAATCTTATTGCTGATTCGCCGCGGATATTCGCGCCATTACGGGCTGCTACGAGTCATCGAAGAATAATGTTTCTTGGTGTACTTTTAAGTCGGGCAACCTTATCGACAGTATTGTAAGGTGTCGACACTTTCTGTTCGAAAACAGCGAAGAGTGGGATTACCTTTTGAGAAGGAGTCTCTCCGGGATAGATTCGCGATTCCGATCGAATTTTGTACATAATACAAGACGCCACGAAATTTCCGAAAGGAGAAGGACGCCACTAAGCGCTATTTATTATTTCCAAACATTAATGATTGTGATTGTATTATTTATTGATCGCAGCTTAAGTACGTTGTTCGAAAGTCTCTGTAACGTTGGACGAGAGATGTTGGATTTGTAAATAAATATATTCCTATGAACTTCTTGCTGCGACTTATTAATGCAATTCCGAAACTACTCCCGATCCGATTTTAGAATACCTAATCCTAATTTATTGCGACGGACTGCTTACTAAAATACATTTTTCGGAATAACTCCCCCTAACAGTTGTAAGTATATCAGTAAGGGCTGAAAATATTAATCTGATTCGAACTTGGCAAAGTTGCACTGGGAGACATCAATGCCCTCCCATCCTGCACAGGCGATGCCGTATCTGCAGGGGAGACACTCATGTCCGCCACTGTGTTTACTCAATCAGGCTTAAAGTTTCCCACAGCCGAGTACACAAATTTAATTTCTAAAAAGGATACCTTCAAGAATGTTATTTTCCAGTTAATTGTTATACTTTCCTTCAGAGATATTTCATTGAACATCCGTAACATACTCGACGCGACATATTTATGGATAGAAAGTTTATTACCAAGGACAAGAGAACGAGGGACATTCTTCGAATACCCGAATATTTTCAAACAGGTTTTAGAGATACGAGAATTTACTGAGTAGACTATTCCACGTTAATAAGAAGAACCTGTCGGCCTTTTCCACGACTTGTAGCGGACAATCTTGATATAGTTGACTCCTGAGATTAACTAAACTTAATTGATATTAATTAACGGAAAACCTGCCAGCCACGCCAAAAATTCGTTACGAGTTTCCATATTATTGACTCCTGGAATTAACTGTAATTAATTTATCGGAATTATCGCAAAAATTACTAATTAACCAGAAATCCAAGAGATTGATTTCTCTTGCAGAACCGCAATGTCAACACCAGTTAATACTTCACGTGGAATAACGTGATGTGAAATGTTAAATGGCTGAAATAAAATATGTCACTTTTGTACATACAAGATACGTTCGTTTGATAATGCAATGGCACTTATTTCAGGACTGCACATACCATCGATTAATTTGAAACTTCATATACCCATGTACGTTGACCCGTTTATTAAGAAAATGTTAATAAAAATTAACGCAAATGTCGTTTTAAAGGTCAAACTAACCACTTTTGAATAATATTTACACTTCTTTTACATTATTTCGATTAATATGTGTAGTACAGCAAATTTCAACATAAACAACTTATTCACGAACAGCATCAGTCAAGGTACAAGTGCGAAAAAACGCGCGCCGAAGGAGATAAATATCGTGAAATTATGATGGACACTGTTTTTAGACATAATAATTGCAAATAACAGTAACAGTTACTATGTAAATACTCCAAATTATTTTGATTTCCCTTTATAACACGCGATCACTAGCAGAGCAAGATGGCCGCCACCTTTCCTTCCCCTTACGTCTTTAACTTTACCGACAAAACAATACCCACC